TATTACAGTAAACTTTGTTGGCCAGTTCCCACCAGATACTGAACCAAAACATCTGTCCTGTTTCTCTGTTTGTGTTTTTGCAAATTCCCCCATCCCTTTTGTGGTGGTGGTTTTTATTTTGCAAACTAAGGGGATTGAGAAGTACCTCTTTAATTCTTTGAGCCTCCCGGGAATTGTAAAAGCCAGCATATCCTAGCTGAGAAGCAGAGTATCGGTGTAACTAAGTATTGTATGTTTGTGTCTAGCTATATGGAAACCTTCTGAGTGTTTCCTTGTGCTCTCAATCTTGCGTATAGATGGAGGATGCAATGCTTGCCAGAGTGACTAAAACCTTTCCCTGTGTCACTTCAAAGCTGAACCACGTTTGTTTGAGGGGAAACTTGGTTTCTGAAAAGGATGGCATTTCCTCCCTCCTGGAGATAGGAGAAATCCGTGCACGTATTTGTTTTAATTCTGTGGAACAAAAGCAATTTTGATTTCTCTGAACTGGCTTTTTATTCTTCAGCTGACTCTGGGGAAGAAATCATGCTCTAAATCCAGTGACGGATGAGTAGCCTGCACTGGGACACAGGCAAAGCTGAGTTTTATTCCTGGCTTTGTTACTGAACTTGGATAAGTCCCTTCTCCTCTCTGCCTTAGTTTCCTCTCCCACCCTTAAGTGCTGGAACTAGAGGTGCGGGGCGGGAGTGTGCTGCAGTTCCCCCTGGCTTGAAGTGGCTTTCATTATATATAGGGTTTACAGTTTGCTTCACTGGCTCTCAGCACTCCCGCCATATAAATTCTTCTAGCTCCCCTACCCTTTGTCTATTGCAAGGCTGGGCAATAATTTCTGAGGGGGAGCCATTCCAATAATTTGGTATGTAGTTAAGGGCCACACTTTCCTTATATTAATGGAAAGGGTGTGGGGTCTGCAATGGAGGTTGGGTGCAGAATGGAGCTCAGGGTAGGAGATTGGGGTGCAGGAGGGGTGTGTGAGTCTGGAAGGGAGTTTGGGTGAAGGAGGGGGCTATGACCTGGGGCAGGGGGGTGCAGGATCTGGGAGGGGGTTTGGGTGAAGGAGAGGATTCTACTAGAGGGAGGGGTGCGCAGACACACAATCACTCACTCTGAGTGGCATATGAAGCTGTCGCAGGCAGCGAGCGTGCCCAAGGATCCCACTGAAGCATAGGATGTTGGCTGCTCAGAGGATCACAGCAGACTGGAGCCAAATGTTTGGTGGGCCTGATCCACCCCTGGTCTATTGCAGGGATGTAATAGTGTAGTTGATTAACCAATAAGCAAAAGCTTATAAGTTAATACTACAGACTACATGCATCCCCCCCCCCCCCCTAAATATTTTAGCAGGCTGGCCAGCAGCCCGGCTCGCTCCTGGCTTGCACTGGATCCTGGACCTACCCCTGCTGCAGCTCTGCATTTAAAGTGTATTAGGAGTTCAGTGCTGGCTCGCACAGGGTCTGAAGCTCAAATCCAATTTAGACAGGGGCTGCTGCCACCTTGCACTGTTGCCTGTTTACCAGAGGCAGCAGCACAGGGCACTAGGCAGGTGGTCTGTGAGGGGAGCGGTTTAGTCTGGCTTCCCTCAAAGACCAGCTCTCTCCTGGCACCCTGCATTGCTTCCTCTGATACAGAGGCAGCAGCACGGAGTGGCAGAGGACTTCTCAGGAGTGGGGCTGGAGCACACTGGTTGCCTGCCCCACACCCGGGAACTATAGAGTAGTTGACTAACTGATAAGAATTCAAGAGGTTACTTGACTATTCAGTTCACCCATATCTAACATCCCTAGTCTATTTGTCTAACTCTTCAGTTCTGGAACAGTCTCTTATTGATTTCAATGGGCTTTGGATCAGCTCCACTGCCTGGCATGGGGGGGTGAGAGGGCAGAATGGCGGAATCTGCACAGTGCGTGGCCCAAACATGGGCCTGGATCTCAGTCTAGGCAGCGGGGGGGAGGGGAAAGCTCTCTGTGCAGCTGTTAGAATAATGATGTGGGTGGGGCGAGGGCCCAGTCTCAGTTGTGGCCTTTGAGCACTGCCATCTGCAAACAAAACAGTTATAGTTTGTGGAGCTGAAACTCCTGATGCCACAATTCCCTACCATTGATCGGAAGTGGGGAAATGTCCAGAACCCTCTTCACGCTGGGATCTCTGCTCTTGTTCCAGGTGGTGGCTGGCGTAAAATACTACCTGACCGTGGAGCTAGTGACAACACTGTGCCGGAAAAATGGGGCAGGCCTTGGAAACGTGGACATCAGCAAATGCTCCTTGCCGGCAACATCAGAGCAACTGGTGAGCAGAGAAAACTGCATAGTGTCTGGTTGAGGCATCAACTTCGTGTAGGCTCGGGGTTGCCTTGCGAGATCAGGGATCTCTGCCCAGCATGGATTATTCTCTGTAAGCCAGGCTCTGTCCAGCTGACCTCTCCAGGGAGGCACCACTGCCACAGCCTGGCTAAGAGGGGAGGCAGTGGTGACTCTGGAGAGATGGAGTCTGGCCTGTGAGTGTGACCTATAGAGGGGAACCATGAGATAAGGCACTTGAATCACAAGGGTTGGGATTCATCACAGCACCCTATCAAAATCAAAAGAGCTCCAGCTTTGGCAGAAATATTTTAAGAGTTGGATAGTTTGGCCAAAAGTTGAAATTTGGAGTGTAAGAGAATACGACAAGCTAATTATGCCCCTCCTTATCAGCAGTGACTCAGGTAAGAAAACTTAACATAAACTCCCTAACCTTTTAATCTGAGGGGACCTTTTGGACAAATGACACTTTTAAAACGGACTGGGTATGGGGGCAGTGACTTGCTATTAGAGTTGAGATCATCTAGAGCAGTGTTTCTTAAACTTTAAGACCTAGAACACCAAACAATACTCTATTTTTTTTTAATGGGGCACACCAAGGATTTTTTTGTTGGCGTGGGGGAAAGTTGTTGAGCAAAAAAAAAGCCCTCAGAAAAGTTGATGAGCAAAAATAAAGGAGGCTTGTCCCTTTAAGGGTGGCCATTTTGAATTCTGTTCTCTCTGCAGCACACTGGTGTGCTGCGGAACACACTTTAAGAAATGCTGATCTAGAGCCTTTGGGATCACAATTGTAAATAATGGCTTCCCATCAACTTGGGTCAATGACCTGTAGAGCAGTTGCATGCCAGTGTTGTGTGAGCAGGTGATATCACTGTCACTAAATTCTTGAGCCTGATTCTTGCTATGCAATGTACCATAAGCCAAATTATACTAGGATAACTGCAGCCATGCTGTGTTTCATAACTCTCTAATCATGGGACATTTTCCTCCCTGCAGAAACTGCACTGTGAGTTCCAGGTCTGGTCCCGTGTCTGGCTCAACGACACACGGTTGTTATCTCAGAACTGCTCTGACTCTTGAAACTGGTCCCATCTGATGACTGTGAGCTGATCTGATACTGCCTAAAGGGTCAGATGCTCTTCTATTGCCGCCTCTTCTCACTAATCAGCCAGCCACATTCCCATCAAGTGGGTGGGAGATCAGAGTCTTGGATCTCCCTCTCCCAAGTCGGTTTGGAAATAGCTGGACCCCCTTTTCTCCTGGAGCATTTGATTATTCCGTCCTGCTTAATGACCACATTGAAGCTCCTGGACGCTTTCTGTTGTAGCTAAGATTTGGCATCTCCTATGATGTAGGGAATAAAAATGATTTAACCATAGCTGAATGGCTGGTATTTTTCCCTCCCTCATCCCTTCATCCCTCTCTTCTATGGTGCTGACCACTTCATATATTTCAAGGTTATTGTTGTCAACTGTGCTGACCTGCAAAACATAATCCATAGAATCTCATCCAGCCTATATCTGGCAGTTGAGTTAGAGCATAACTTTCAGTTCAGACAGACATCCAGTCTTAGGGTATGTAGCATGTTGTGCAAGTTAATACAGTAATAAAATAGCCCTGTCTGGGATTGTGGCCATAATCGTTAATTGGGTTACCCAGAGTGTTCTGGGATGGAACTGTGCACAACCTCTCCCTTGCTTCTTGCTTTCGCTGCTGGTGGTGGGGAGTTCGTTCGTGCTCTCTCTCTCTCTCTCTCTCTCTCTCAACACCCCCTCTCCACTGTATTGTGATGCCCCTGAGTAAAGCAGCAAGTCCCAGTCAGCTGTGCTGGGAGTAGACTGACTGTTACACTTAGTGATCACTTAGTGATTTGGGGGAATGGGAGGCTTCCCAGCAAATCAAAAAATCTCTTTTGTCCTGAGCTGTTGTAGGCTTCCACTGTGTCAAGGGCAGCAGAGCTCTGGGTCTATTTTTTTTAATACAGTAAACAAAACTACCCCAGAATAGACCTGACTCAGGGCTCACATTTCTCCTACCAATGAAAATATCTCCACAAAGTCCTGATTGTTTCCAAACTGCTCGCGCCAAAGAGGCAACAATCCATGTATAATTTGTGGATGGGGGAGATTCTAGCTCTTTCACTCACCCCTGACCCGATCTTGCTCTTGATTATATAACAGTGTACTCTCCCACCTGTAGTCCTCCCAGCAATGGTATGTGTCACTAATGCAGGGCCGAACCGGCATAGAGAAGGGAACCTGGGAGTCCTGCCTTCCAGCTCCTTTATCTAACACTTACTCTCCATCCCCTCTTTGATTCAGGAGCCTAACCCAAGAGTCTGGCTCCCAGCTTCCCCAGTCTCACCACCAGACCCCATTCCCTTGCTAAGCCCAGGTGGGCTGGCCTCCAATTCCTGCTAGTATCTATAGACACCCCCCTCTGAGGTAGAACCCAAGAAGTCTGACTCACCACTTCTTTCTCTAACTATTGGACACCACTCCTCTCCTAGAGCCAAGCAGAGGGGCCAGGAGTCCTGTCTGCTGATCACATGCTGAGGAGCACTCCACCTCCTTAGGACCCATGGCTCCATGCAGGATCTCAGTGGGACACTGGTGATGGCCAGCTGCCACCCCATCCCTTCAGCCAGGCTGCCCCATCCATCTCACATTGCTCATGACAAAAGAGGCCATGTCTGGTGTGGCAATGAAGCAGGCTCACATGCTCTGGGGGTTCAGGGTTTATTAGCTCAGGGTGCAGCAGCACATCAGGTTACAAGGCCTGTTCATACACTGCTGAAAACACGGCAACCCTTCATTCCCCAGACTGCTTGGGCACTCTGTGTGGTGCTTTGTGCCCCCTCTAGTGGCAGCAGGGCCACATACACAGGTTGAGGAGGCTGGTAGAGCCCTGGCTTGTAACTCAGGCAGGAGTGGCCCGTGCATTTTGATCCAGAGGTCAAAGGTTTGGTGAGAACTTGCCAGGGGTGACTTTTGTCCCACTCCCATTAGTGAACATACCTGACCCCCAAGGCTGCTAAGTGTGTGGGGCTGGAGAGGGAGGCTAGGGATAGGGTGGTCAGCTAGGTCCAGAATCATTACTGTGCCTGCCATCAGGTTCCCCTTTGCACTGGGCAGAGCATGTCTGAGGCTGGCACTGCCCACTGCCTGCTGTGGGTGTAGCATCCTCTGGGGCTGGCACTGCTCCCCTCCCCCAGCACCTTCCTGCTTTCCAAGGGAGTCCCAAAAGCTCCCCTCCTTTTGCAGGCATGTCTGGCCCTGCCATTAGTTGCCAGTTTGAGGTCCCTCTGATACCTGTGTCTGGGCTGTCCTCAAACTGGGAAGGAGGGGTCACTAGGGAACCCCTGTGGCTTTGCCTACTGCAAAGTCCCCTCCCCCCCTCCGAAATCACTGTTCCCTCTTCCTGAAATGGAGGAGACAATCAGCCAGGACCCACCAGGTTGGACTGCTGTGTTAGGGCAGGTTAACAAGGGTTGGGGTGGGGATAATAAGGGGAGTCCCTGTGACTGAGACTCTTGACAGCGTGGCCAGCACCCTCTGTGATTGTTGACATGCAGGGAAACACCACCTAGACATAGCAGTTCCGGCTAGGGGAGTAGCACTGGGGCTTACACATTTGATGGGGCCTAGCAAGAGAAATGTGGTCAGAGCTGAGATTTCTGTTCCCAGGAATGGGGGTTGGTTGGGAGTTTGGATCTCAGCTAGCCTGGACCATGGGAGAGAAACCTAGAGTGATAGGTGGGAGATAGGGAAGGGGTGCATGTTCAGGTAAAGAGAGACTTGGGAATGGACGAATAAATAAATGTATTTGGAGATAGGCAGATGGGTGTCTATGGGGATAGATGGAGGGTCATGTTCTGTATAAGGATGGATCGGTGCATGTGGGGACAGCTAGCGGGGTGTCTGTGGGGATGGATGGATAGATTAGTGTGTATGGGAAAGGACAGGTGATGGATCAATACAGGGGGCAGATCGATCTGTGTCCAGATGGGTGGCCCAGGCCCATCTCTCGTAACTGTCAAAAAAGCAGCCAGTCCCTAAGGCACCCATTGGGCAGATCAGTGGCTGCCATTGCTCTAGGAAGTTCATGTCTCTGGGAATGGCCTGCCATCCAGAGTCACTGTCTCTTCGAATGGTTCCTCAATGTGTCATCAGTGATGGGGAGGCATCAGAGCGGAGACCTGGGGTTAGCCACGAAAGTTTCCCAGCCTCTGCGGAGGGCTCGGTCCATCTGCTGGAGGATAGAAAACCGGGTGAATGTCCAAGGACGGGTGTGCTGTGATCAGATCCCCCCATTATTTGCCTCCTTCCTTCCCCAGCCCCAGGACAGGCACAAAGGCCGTGACAGAAGGTATCCAGTGGAGCTGTCCAGGGGCTGCCCACTGAGAGCTGGGAATAAAAACCCAGCCAGGATCACAGCAGGCTATAGACTGAGCCAGCCAGGAGATTCCCCTGGACCAGCAGCTCTTTTTTCCCTCCACCTGAAGGGTCTTATGTGAGTCTTCTGAGCTGCTGGTCTTCTATCAGGACGTGCTCCAGACGTGAAAGCTACTTTTTGTGACCAGGACTGTTGTGGCCACCCAGGAGACAGACCTCCTCACTGAGCCCCTGCTACCCAATTCCTGTCTTCATGTGCAGGGAGTGGAGTCCTCTTTGGTGCATTGGAAATTGATCCTGGCAGAAACCACCAGGATCAGAGACCTCCAGGACTACGACGGGGGGACTGAGTGGATCCCTGAGTGCTTGGTTGGCACGTGGGCTCTCCAGCCTTCAGACCCCCTGTGCCTACTCCAAGAGGTGGGGGCAGCCTTATCGCCCACTTCTCAGGTTTTCTCCAGCAGGTCCTGCGATAGGATGCCTCCCCACTACACTCCAGTCCCACTGGACCTTTTTATTAAGCCCCGGTCCTACAAGCCCTCTGGCCTCCTCCCTTTCGCATCCTGAGTCAGCCACATACTCTGAAGCTGCTTTGCTTTCAAACTGCACCTAGGGGAAAGCTATACATGCTCGCCCGCCACACGTCCTATTTCCTCGCCCTTGTGTCTCCAAGTAGCGGGACTCTCCCCTACTTGTGGAGGGTGAGGAATGCCAGTGGAGTGCTGTGCTGGAGGAAGGAGGGCACAAGAAACATAACAGGCAGGCAGGAGAAAAAGTGGCATGGGGGCATCATTTGAGCTCCCTGCCTCAGGTGCCAAAATGTTGTGGGCCGGCCCTGAGTGGCCCAGCCTCTGTTCTACCCTGGTCCTGCTGCCCACTGGGGATATCAGTTGGCAGCTCCTTCCCAGTGCTGTGAGCATGGGCATGTACCTGGTGTGGTTCACTCCCATCCCCAGAGCCCATCTGCAGGGTGAGGAAGAACCTGGCGCATGTCTTCCTAGAATGAACCAGGGATAGTCCCTTCTCCAGCTCCTCTAGGTGAGGTTCTGGCTGCACTTTTTTCTGCACAGATGGACACCTTGACCGTGGCCCCACAAAGTTGCGAGACCTCCTCATTAACCTCCTCCAAATTGGCCATCGATAGCACCAGGAGAAGGATGCTCATGCTCTGCTAAGGCAGGGCCTATTTCTGTTCCTCTCTGGTTTCACATATCCAGGCAGAGTTCCTTTGGGCAGCATTCACAGGTTCCCTAGACAGCGTTGGCGAGCAGTGGGTGTCATCCGGGGCTCTCTGCTCGGTTTCCCCCTCTGGATCCTTCATTATGAACCTGTGACCTCCACTCCTGTCCCTGTTATTCATTAGTTGTCCCAAGAATTCATCTGGATCCTGGGTCCTGTCCTACCTGCAAGGCTGGGGGAGGAGTCTTTAGACATGGATGGCCTTGTGCCCCCACCTCCTTGGTTTTCCAATAACACTCAGGATGTTAGGAATAGGCTCCCATCTGACCCCAGGGCAGAGGGACTGAGTTGGCCGGGTGTTGGATACAAGACCTTTCCCTCTAGGGAAAGGCTCCATTCTGGCCTATGACAGGCTGCCAGGTAACTGTAAGAGAGAATGAACCCAGGCCTTTGTGACTAATTAGATCCTTCCCAGCAGAGACAGTTTAGCAGCTCACCTAATTCTACTTGGGGCCACTTCAGGTAGTGAGCAGTCCCAGCTGAGAAGGGGCCGGGAGCTTCTCACAAGGTGCTCTCTGAAATCTGTGGGGGTGGGGCATTTCATCTGAGGGAAGTCGGTGCAAGCTGCTGAGCGATAGGAGTTACAGAAGTACTTCTGAGAAGTGAAAAGCTCAGGGAACTAGCCCTGGAGGTTGCTGCCCTGGCTAAGGGCCAGGATCCTGGGAAAGTCCAAGGTGGGGTGACAGTAGCTCAGTGGGGTGGATACTAAATACCTAGGTCTGGAGAATAACCCCAAATGGGAAGG